AAGGATTTATTTTCCTCTTTCAATTCAATTACTTGAGAATTAGAAATAGTAGAAGAATTAAAATCAGAAATTTCTTCAAGTAATCTTTTATTTTCACCTTTAAGAAAATTATGTGAAGCCTTTAATCTCAAAAATGTTTCATATAATTCATTGAAAGCATCTAATAATTCTTCATTATTGCATATCTCATCTTCTTGTGCCATGAAGCACGTGTGAGCGGATTCCTCTTTTTGTTCTTTCATTTTGAATAACTCAAACATGAGCTTTACTATGATTAGAATATCCAACAAAAATTCTTTCATCGGTTTTTCTTTAAGCCAATCACATTATATTGAAAAAATAGTGAATAAATTTAATCATCTTGGTTTTAAAAGACAGCTTAACACTCCTTTCGATCCCAGTCCAAATTTGGCCTTAGCCAATTCTGGTAGAGCTGTAGCCACAGCTTGAGCTATTGCTAGTGACAATTAGTTCATTTTAATGTATGTTATGCATTGTACTAGAGCCTGATATTACATTTGCCTGTATGCCAAATTACAGTAGACTTACACTAGATAATCCAAGTTGTAGAACATTGGAAAAGTATTTCCAGGCATTTTTGGCATAAATTTTTAAAGAAAACCAGAAAAATCTGTGTTTGTTCATATAATTGATTATCGCGCTGCTATTAGAGCGGAGTACACCGATGCCAAGCTTGGATGACTAGTGTTTGCAGACAACCAATTCCACTTCTTGAATGATTTTTACACTTGGTGGAGGAGCAAGTTTTCTTGCGGCAAGCAAGCAAACCAAAACATGTATCTCACACTCCACCAGTGGAATCTGAATTCATTGCTTGTAGCAGCAACTGGTAAAGAGGCTGAATGGATTAGGAACTTATTACTAGATATGTAAGTTCATGGCCTAGGTCCAATTGCTCAATCTCTATCTTTGCTGATAGTCAAGCTACTTTGTCAAGCGGCTGATAATGTAACATATAATGGTACAGTCTAGAACATAAGTCTAAGACATGAATATGTGAGACACTGATACAAGATAGTTGTCATAACTTGTCTATGTCAAGGACAAATAAAAATTTGGCTGATCCATTTACAAAACCTCTAGCATAGAGAGTGGTAGTAAAAGATGACATCAAGTGAAATGGGGGCTGGAAAACCTATATATTTAAAAATCACCAGGAATTGGTAACCCAACCATTTACCTAGCCAACTAAACTGTGTTTAAATGGTTTAAATAGGTTAATAACAAGCCTTTCTGAAACGTGATTGATTGATATTGACGCATTAGCCCCTAAAAGATAATGTCAATATCCGTCCCATTACGGCAATAAGAGGGATGAGAGTTGATGCTCTTAATGAAAGGTCTAATACATATATTATTGTGTGTTTAAAGTAATGGAAACACATTGCGTAGACGCTTGCACCTATATGAACTTAAGAAGTGGTGCCGCTTCTTAAAAGAACCCTAAAGTTTGTTCTTTAAGAGTTTCATGAACCAGGAATAAGCCACAAGGCCAGAACATGCCCTAAAATATTAATTTCTCCCATTAAAACCCAAGAGATTAGTTGTATGTACAATATTCTTCCCCGTTCCTATCCCCACCCAAGAAGTAATTAGTTAATGTTAAAGGCAACCTAACGACTATTGATAGAACTTTGATGGTATTTATTACTAAAGTCAAAGGTTGTAATCGAAAGATACCCTCTACCATATGTATACTTATACCTCCATTTTCTACATATTGCCCCAGATTATTTTTAATATAACCACCCTATTAAATGCTTTTTCCAAACCCAAAGTGCGGCGGCCGATTTTTAGTATTTGTTTGTAAAAAAACAAGATAGTCCCACATTGGCAATTTGAACATTCTGTTAGATGGTTTAAAGCATTGAATGCGTTATTGGGCTTTGAATAATTGATCAAGTGTAGGCTCTAAACCCGTGTGCAGGGTGCGCTTAGCTTCGCCGAAATAATGCGCGATTTTAACGCGCCATAATCTCTTCTCTTTT